CCCAAGGGGGATGGTCACGCCGCAATCCCTTCTCCTCCATTCTCCTCTTGGGATCTTGGGCACGCATGCACATGCGCCCGGCGTGAGTTCTAAGCCACCGGGTCCAGGACGTGAACCACGGTCGACTACGTGGGAGTCCAGTGACATAGCCATTACGCCAACTGCTGGTTCCCTATGATGTGTTTTTTATGCAAAAATATATCATGACTTTTCCAATGATCCAACAGAAAAATACTCACACATGCACACTGAGAAATACATGTAACAATGTTCACAGTAGTAGAGTATGAATTATTAACAAAAAAATTCAGATACCCACTGACAGAACAGTGGACAGATTATGGGCATACAATGAAACACCATATAGCCATAAAAAGAATAGACTACACTTGCAGTAAGTGTAGACCAGTCTCAAACATTAATACTGAATGAAAACTATTATATCTAGCATGATATAATTTATATAAAATTTAAAGCAAAAAACCTCCCACTTTATTCATTATTTGGCAGGTGGTACACATCATGTAGTAAAATTAAAACAGAAAGTCGATAATGGTTACCTTTACGGAGGAAGAAAAGGGAAAAAGCCTGGGGCAGGGGACATAAGGAAATAGGTACTGATCTGTAATAATGAATAATGGAAACCTGAGTATTTGTTTTATTTTATTCTTTAATTTGCCAAAGGGTCAGTATACTCACCAGAAAGAGACAGACAGGGAGAGAGAGTGGGAGAAGAAAGCACCCATACGGGCGTGGTCATGCACAGTCCCTTTTCCTCCATCTCTCCTTTTTGTAGCGATGCTGGGCATTGCACGCACATGTGCATGGTGTGTTTTTCAAGCCTCTGGAACTGGGACTCAAACTAAGCATTCAGCTGTATGGGATCCAGCTGTCCCCATCTCCCCCCAACCCCATTAAGAATGATTTATTTTGGGATCAGCAGTTAGTGTAATGGCTATGTCGCTGGACTCCCATGTAGTCGACCGTAGTTCAAGTCCTGGACCCAGTGGCTTAAACTCACGCCGGGTGCATGTGCGTGTGTGCCTAAGATCCCGAGAGGAGAATGGAGGAGAAGGGATTGCAGCATGACCATCCCCCCTGGGGGGTGATTTCTCGCTTTCTGGCTCTATGTCTCTGTCTTTCTGGTGAGTGCACACGCCCTATAGCAAAAACCTCTCAAAAAAAAAAATTATTTATTTAAACTCTTTTAAAGAGAGATTTTTGCTATTGGGCATGTGCCCTTGCCAGAGACAGAAAGTGAGTGGCCGGGAGGTGGCGTGGTAGTTGAAGATGCTGGAACCCCATATGACCAACTGTGGTTCAAGTCCCAGACCTGGTAGCTTACTTTCTCACTTTCTCTCTCTCTCTGGTCAAATGAAATAAATAAATAAAGGTAAATAGAATAAATAATCCTTAAAAAAACAAAAACAAGGCGAGAAATCACCCTCAAGGGGGACAGTCATGTCACAATCCCTTCTCCAGTCTCCTTTTGGGTTTTTGGGCATGCACATACACATGCCCTGCCAAATGCCATACTCAAACCCTGGTTGGACTGTATGGGAGTCCAGTGACATAACCATTATGCCATCTGCTGGCCCCAAGAATTATTTATCTTATTTATTGTATTTTTTTTTTTTTTAAAGAGGTTTTTGTTGTAGGGCGTGTTTGCTCGCCAGACAGACAGAGGGAGGCAGAGAGACAGAAAGCGAGAAATCACCCCCCAGAGGGGATGGCCCCGCCGCAATCCCTTCTCCTCCATTCTCCTCTCGGGTCTTGGGCACACACACACATGCACCTGGCATGAGTTTTAAGCCACCGGGTCCAGGACGCGAACCGCAGTCGACTATGTGGGAGTCCAGCAACATAGCCATTACGCTAACTGCTGGTCCCTCTTTTTTGTATTTTTAAAATCACAACAAATGGGCACATGTTCTAACCACAAACAGAGAGAGAGAGAAAGGGTAAGTGAGAAAGCAAGCTGCCAAGTCTGAGACTTGAACCACGGTCTGCCACATGAGAGTCCAGTGCCTTCATCACCATGCCATGTAGTGGCCCCAGGACCCAACTCTTTTAACTACCAGACTGTAGGCTGAACCCATTAGTATTTGTTTCATTATTTTTATACTATGTGTTATTAGGTTATCGGGAAAGTCATGATGAGTTTCTCTCTCTGTTTTTCTTTTTTTTAAAGAATTATTCAATTTTATTTATTCATTCATTTTATTATTATTATTATTATTTAAATTTGACTGGAGAGAGACACAGAGAGAGAAAGAGGGAAAGTGAGAAAGCAAGCTATCAGGTCTGGGACTCAAACCATGGTTGGCCATGTGGAAGTGTCCAGTGCCTTAACCACCATCAACTTAAATACAACCCTTAATATCTAGCAGAAATAGAATAAATTTTATCTCTGGGTAATTACTTCATTTTCGCTAACCATTTTTTCCTTTTGTACAACCAAAGTCTCTCTTTTTTAAAAATAATTATTTCATTTTATTTATTATTATTATTTTCAATCTGACTAGAGAGAGGAGAGAGAGAGAGAGAAAGCGAGAAAACAAGCCACCAGGTCTGGGACTCAAACTGTGGTTGGCCATGTGGGAGTCCAGCACCTTAACTATCACACCACCTGCTGGTCCCCAAAATCTCTCTTTAAAAATAATTATTTAATTTTTATCTATTTCTTTATTTGTTTTTAATTTGACCAGAGAGAGACAGAGTGAGAGAGTGAGAAAGCAAGCCGCCAGGTCCAGGACTCAAACTGCAGTTGACCACGTGGGAGGCCCAGCGCCCTTAACCACAACAGTGGCCAGCCCTAAAACTCTCTTTTTAAAAACAGTTTCTGGAGGGTGCATATGCTTTCCAGCCAGTGCTAGAAAGAGACCAAGAAACATGGAATAAATAATCCCACTTTCTCTCTCTCTCTGGTCAAATGAAATAAATAAATAAAGGTAAATAGAATAAATAATCCTTAAAAAAACAAAAACAAGGCGAGAAATCACCCTCAAGGGGGACAGTCATGTCACAATCCCTTCTCCAGTCTCCTTTTGTGTATGCACATACACATGCCCTGCC